GATACAGACTGACACTGGTCCCGCCCTGGAGCTCACAGACAGCACCCTGCCCTGCAGCCTCTGCCCTGGTTCACAGGCTGCAGCTGACAGGTGTGGCGTGGGAACGTCAGGCCCTGGCAGGTGTGGCCCTCTGTGTTACCTGTGCGGAGGCTCTCACTTGAGTTCTCATTCCCGGAGAAGAGAGGCTTACTCAGCAACAGTGCTTGACAGGCACGTTTTCTCAGTGCTCTGGTAGAGGACACAAGGACCCTGATGTATTTGTTACTGCTGAGTAACAAATGAGCCGAACATGGCTCGAATATTGGTGGGTGTTCATTTTTAGCTCTATCTGCCCGTGTAGCAGAATTCTTCATTTAGCTTTAAATGAAGAGAGAGATAACAAGAACGAGGCTAAAGAAAGAGAAATAAGAATACAGGTCCTGCAGAAATTAGAGAAGGACTATAAATATCTTGTCTCGGGATTCTTCGCTCTGCTTTCTGCTTGAGCTGGGGGGGCAGCTGCAGAGAAAGCAGATCTTTTTGGGGCGCAGGGGCAGCAGGTGCCAGCAAGGGGACTGCCTGTCAGGGAACAGGCTGACGAGGACTCAGGAGCTCAGCAGGGCCGGGAGCATCAGTCCAGGGTTGCTGGGTCTGCTCCATGACCCTCCTTCAGACCAGTCCCCTGCACTGCAGGCCGGAGAAGAGCTTACTGCCCCCAGCCCTCCTCTGCACCCCCGGAGCCTGCCGTGTGGAGCCGATGTGCTGCTGGCCCGAGGCCTGAGTCCTGAGCTGTTGAGTATCTCAGGCCACTGGCGTCCTGCTGCTGCCTCAGGGCTAATGACAGTGTGTGCAAGAGCTGCCTTTCTTCCTGTTAGAAAAACAGGCCTGCGGAGATTTTCATTATTGTGTCCTTCCTTTGGCTTTTGAGTGAGCATGCACGGTCTTTCGTTGTTTGTGCAATAGCTGCTTTCCGCTGGCCTGGCCCTTATTTATTTCATCTGTTTGTTTATTCCTCCTTTCATCTGTGTTCAGTTTGACTGAGACGGTGATGGAAGTAAAGTGGCCTTCTGGCAGATCTAGTGAAATTACTCACGACGCAGGACCCAGAAGCCCTCTGCGGCTATCACAACCTTTTGAAAAGAGATGCATCAATTATTCTTAGACCCCTTCAGCTATAAAGAACAGCAGCTCTGCTCTCTGCTAATTTCTCTGCACATAGAGGTTTAAGAACCACCTAAAAAAGATAATTAGAAGAGAATAGATAAGACACCATATAGACATTTTTTATTATTCTAATTTGTTCTTAAAGCAGCAAAAGGGAGAGGTGGAAATTAATTATCTCTTAAGCACACTGTGCTGAAAGCCAGAGAACAAGCTTCTGAAAGGAATAAAAAGCTTTTGTTTAAAATCTTAAATTAGCACTAGAGTGCTGGGGCTTCCATGCTTCTAATTTAATCGTGAATTCTATGAGAATTTAACTCACTTAAATCTGAGGCTATCATTTCAGATCTGATTGGGTGTCTCCAAACTGGGATTGAGACTGGACAGACCGGCTTTTCACACCCGACCTGTGTCACGAGGCTGCTGTGTTTCTCTAGCGTGGGGA